GGCAGAAGAGCCCCACCTTCAGGTGCTGGGGCCGGGCCCAGAAGTGAGTGGCTCCGGTGAAGGAGGGTCCGCTCACGGCAGGAGTGACATTCTGGAGGTCAAAGTGGCTGGGGAGACACCCAGGTCGGAGCCAGGGATGGAATTCATCTGCACAGACTGTGGGCTGAGCTTCCGGGAGCTGGCCCGCCTGGAGGCCCACCAGCTGCGGTCTCACCCCGGCGCTCGGGCCTTTCCCTGCCAGTGCTGCGGGAAGAGCTTCGGCCGGAGTTCCATCCTCAAGCTGCACATGCGCACGCACACAGATGAGCGGCCACACGCCTGCCACCTCTGCGGCCACCGCTTCCGCCAGAGCTCACATCTGAACAAACACCTTCAGACTCACTCCTCTGAGCCCGCCTTTCTGTGTGCCGAGTGCGGTCAGGGCTTCCAGCGCCGGGCCAACCTCATGCAGCACCTGCTGGCGCATGCCCAGGACCAGAAGTCCCCGTGCGTCCCCGAGACCAAGAGCGAAGCGCGCGAGCTGGCCGTGGTCCTGTGCTCCCACTGTGGCCAAACCTTCCAGCGCCGCTCCAGCCTCAAGCGCCACCTGCGGATCCACGCCAAGGACAAGGGCCACCAGTGCTCTGAGTGCTCGGGCAGCCTGCGCCCGGGCCCCGAGCGCAGGCCTTACGTGTGCGGGGACTGTGGCAAGGCGTTCCGGCGCAGCGAGCACCTGGGGGCCCACCGGCGCGTGCACACGGGCGAGCGGCCCTTCTCCTGCCAGATCTGCGGCCGCAGCTTCAGCCAGAGCTCCCAGCTGGTCTGCCACCAGCGGGTGCACACGGGCGAGAAGCCCTACAGCTGCCCGCACTGCGGCAAGCGCTTCGTGCGCCGGGCCGGTCTGGCCCGCCACCTCCTGACCCACGGCGGCCCGAGGCCCCACCATTGCGCCCAGTGCGGCAAGACCTTCAGCCAGACCCAGGACCTGGCCCGCCACCGGCGCAGCCACACGGGCGAGAAGCCCTGCCGCTGCAGCGAGTGCGGCGAAGGCTTCAGCCAGAGCGCCCACCTGGCGCGCCACCAGCGCATCCACACGGGCGAGAAGCCCCACGCCTGCGACACGTGCGGCTACCGCTTCCGCAACAGCTCCAACCTGGCCCGCCACCGCCGCAGCCACACCGGCGAGCGGCCCTACGGCTGCCCGACGTGCGGCCGCAGCTTCCGGCGCAACGCGCACCTCCAGCGGCACCTGGCCACCCACGCGGGGGCCGGGACCGAGGCGGCGGCCCGGCAGGCCGAGCCCCCCCAGGAGTGCCGCGAGTGCGGCAAGAGCTTCAGCCGCAGCTGCAACCTGCTGCGCCACATGCTGGTGCACACGGGCGCCAGGCCCTACTCGTGCGCACAGTGTGGCCGCAGCTTCAGCCGCAACTCGCACCTGCTGCGGCACCTGAGAACGCACGCCCGCGAGACCCTGTACTAACCCCACCCGGGTTCCGCCGGGCCTGCCCTGCGCGCCTCTCCCCGGTGGCCTGCAGAGGACGTCCCGGGGCCCCACTCCCCCGGCCTCCCTCTGGCTCCGCCAAGCCTGCGTGTTAGTACACCCGCCCCCCGCCGCCCCAGGCATCTCTCCCTGGCCGCAGGGCTGTATTTCAAAGTACCTAAAGTAAAACGGCCTTCTTGAAAACCACTCTTCTAATTTTTTTGAGATCCACCAAAACGCTGTCTGTTACCCTCAGCACTGTGACGGGGATGCCTTTTCCTTTCCCTACCCCAGCTCCTTCTACAGTACTCTAGATAGGAGCAGGCCCAGAGAGAGCCCCGCCCCCACACACACCCCCCGGAAAGGCCCAGAGTTGGGGGGCTGGCAGAGGGGTGCCAACTCTCAGAGCCAGCTGTGAGGAAGGCCACCGAATGCCGCCCTGGAATTTTCCCTTCTCTGGAGTCTGCCCCTAATCTCTGTTGTCCGATACTGTATCCTCTAGCCACATGTGGCTGCTTGAATTAATTAAAATGGAATAAAATTTAACTTCCCAGATTCTGGGTTCTTACGGGAAACCTTGTTTTTGGAATGTAGGTAACTAGTTCAACTTGAAGATGCTAGCAGATGAAATGAAACCTGCTTGATGGCCAAGTTGGATTGTGGGCTCGAGACCCCTGACGACCCATGATCCTGTAAACCCAAAGCTGGTTTGGCTGATTTCCACACCTTCTACCTACCAGGCAATTTTGGCCTCTTCTCTACTCTGGAAGACAGGTTGTTTTTTTCACAACTAATAGACAGGTTTAAAATCATGTGACTTCTGTTAAGACCACAGGAAAGAAAACAGCCCCCCTCAGCTGCAGAGGACACACATGCTCTTCCTGCTTCTGTCTGTGGCTTTTTGTACCCACACTTTTTTTTCTAAGTTGTTTTTGTCCCTCCAACCTGACACGTAATTGCTGTTTAGCAGATGTTTGTGAACATGAGGTGAACTCGTCAACAAGTGCTCACGGGACTTGGGGAAAATCTGCTCCCAAATGTGGGAAAGTAGAGATGGTTCTTGGGCACAATTGAGTGGGAAGCTCTGAGCCTGGGGAAGGTCTATGCTTTTGGGGTTTGGGAGGAAGATCAGGTAGGGTACAGAGAGTCCCTGGATGTCACAGAACAAATTAGACTCGTGGAAGACCCCAGAGCAGAAAATTTCAAGAAGATAATTTTCTTAGTCAACTAAGAAAGTAAGGAGTTGGGAGAACCCACAGCATTTGGAGGCTTTATTATTTCTTGAGCACCTACTGTGTACTAGGGAATGTGCTGGGCTATTGAGGAGAACAAGGCCTGAAATAGAAGGGAGAGGCAACCACAGAAGAACTAGGGGAAGGGCATCCCTGGCAGAGGAAACAGCATGTGCAAAGGCCCTGAGCTGCTGAGCAGGCAGCTGAAGAATACTGTCCCTGAGGGAGTTCTGTAGGAACCTGATGATACAGACCACCTTAGAGGCCAAGGTTAGAGTTTATTTATTTATGTATTTATTATTTATTTATTTTAAAGATTTTCTTTATCTGACAGAGAGAGACAGTGAGAGAGGGAACACAAGCAGGGGGAGGGGGAGAGGGAGAAGCAGGCTTCCCGTTAAGCAGGGAGCCTGATGCGGGGCTCGATCCCAGGACCCCAGGATCATGACCTGAGCTGAAGGCAGATGCTTAACTGACCGAGCCACCCAGGCGCCCCAGTCAGAGTATATTTATGATGGGAAGAGGGGAGGGTTTTAAGCAGGGAGTTACTTCATTTTGCAATGAAATTGTTTTGACCTTGGTGCTAGATAGATTTGGCTTGAAAGAGGCAAGACAAGGGAGACCAACGAGAAGAGCCTGGAAGTTGTCTAGGCTCTGGTTGACGGTGACTTTGATGGGGCCATGGGTTCATAAAAGCCCCCGATGTCAGCACAGGAGGAGGGTTTCCTCAAGGGAAATCCGTGCAGAAGCCACAAGGAGAAGTGGCAGTGTGACACAGGGTCACTTGAAAATGCAGGGCAAGGATCTAAAACAACCCAAATGCTGACAGGAAGTGGGGAGAGAGGACACGGCCAAGGGGAAGATCCCCCCAACACTCTCCCCTGTAGGGCAGAGGCTGCGAGCAAACAGGGTCCCTGAGGATGATCAGGGCCACCAAGAAGTTACTAGCAGGGTATGCTTCAGCCATTGTCGCCTCCTGCTGGACTCACAGGTGGCCCCCGGGCAGGCGATTTTTCTAAGAATCAAGAGTTTCTTTCCTACAAAAGGGAAAGGGTCTGAAGAAGCTGGCCGACAGGAGAGGGGAATGCTGACTCACAGAAGCGCCCCCAGTCCTTGAGGCCTCCTGGCTCCCAAGCCCCTCCCCCATGCCCCTCTCACCTCAGCATCCTTCTCAGACACAGCGGAGTGCCTGTGGTCCCCTGCCCCAGGCCCATTTCCTCCTTCCTTCCTGCTCTGTTCTCAGGTCGGGGCCCTGGAACCACCCCCCTCAGCGCCACCTCAGCAGCCGCTATTTGTGGCCGGACACTCCCAGTGCAAAATCTGTGTGCAGCTACCAGAAGCAGGAAGTCAGTGGGGGGCAGGGGAGCTTGGGGGAAAGGAGGAGGGGTGCCTGGTGGCTTAGTTAGCTGAGCCTCAGTTTCAGATCTGGTCTTGCTTGAGCTCATGGGTTGGGCCTGCACTGCATTGGGTTCCCCGCTCAGCCAGTAGTCTGCTTGAGAAAGAGTCGCTCTCTGCCTCCACACTCTCTCTCTCAAATAAATCATCTTAAAACAACAACAAAAAAAGAGGGGTGCCTGGGTGGCTCAGTTGTTAAGCATCTGCCTTCAGCTCAGGTCATGATCCCGGGGTCCTGGAATCGAGCCCCACATCGGGCTCCCTGCTCAGCAGGAAGCCTGCTTCTCCCTCTCCCACTCCCCCTGCTTGTGTTCCCTCTCTTGCTGTGTCTTTCTGTCAAGTAAATAAATAAAATCTTTGAAAAAAAAAGAAAAGAAAAATGATGAGCTGACCTGAGCCCTTCCAGCCCTGGCCTTCTCCTCCTCCCCCCAGTTCCTGCATTTGCAGACCCACACCAGGCCACAGGCCGCAGGCCTAAGATGTGACTCCTGCCCTCCCCCGCCAAGCTGCCTCTCTGCCTGGCACAGGCAGGGGTACCCCTCCCTCCCCATCCGTCCTCCATCCTTCCCCCCGCCCCATGCCCCAACCTCAAGGCCTCTGATCTTGGAAGGAAGACCGAGGAGCTTCTGTGGCCCAGCGAAGGATGAAGACTCGGGTCAGGAGAAGAAAAGAGGGCTGAAAGCTCCTCAGGCCCGAGCGCCCTGCTGCTCTGGGAGCACCATTTACTGAGTCTCTACTATGCATCAGGCAAGGCATCGGCCTTCCAGTCCTCACCACGAGTCCGTGACCAATTGTGACACCGGTGTCCCACGTACAGATTTAGAGCGGTCAGGTGGACCCCAGTGCGGGTCCACATGACACATGTCCCCCCCAACCACTGGGGCCCCCTGCTCCCGACACCACAGGCACTCCGCTGGGTTTGACCAACTTTTATTAAGACACCATAGCCAGAGCGACGGGCCAGCCCCGGGGAAGGATACCGGTAAGGGGGGGTTAGCTAGGCCTGCATGGTGCTCCTGATGACCTGAGCCATGAAGGAGCAGAAATCGTTAAACACACTCCAGATGGCCTCCACCGCCCTGCAAAGGGCCTGCACTCCAGCAGCCAGGGTCGTCTTCAACCAAGCCAGCGCGGCCTGCCACTTCTGCCAGAGGCAGTGCAGCAGCCTCTGAAAGTACCTCAGGGCTCGCTTACAAAAGGACTCCTTGGGAGAGCAGCCCTCAGGACTCTGGTCTTCCAGGGAAAGGACAGAGGACCTCCGGACCCTGGAGCGCAGTTCCTGCCGCACCTCGGGAAGTAACGGAGAGGAGTCCTGCAGGGACGCGGTTGGGGGGCCGTTCAAGTCTTGGCCCCGGGCTGAGGCCTCCCAACCTTCCTGAGAATCTGGGAGACAGAAGCCCACAGACGAAGCTGCCCGCTTTCCCGCCAGCAGGTCCCCACACGCGCGGACTTCTCCCGCCGACTTCCTCCCCCTCTCCCGGCATAAACCACCGACGTGGTGCGGACCCTGAGCAGCCTCGATCGGAGCCCGGCCCCCAGCCCTCGGGGCCCAGCGGATGCGGCACTGAGGGCGGAGAGGGGGCTCTTGCCCGGATGTGCTGGGCGGGGGAGGCCGGTGCCGGGAGGTTGCCACCTCCCCGGTCTCGAGGGGCATCCCTTCCCCCTGTGTCCATACATGGCCACACCAAAATCCAGACAGAACAGGTGGGGAAGGGAAGCAAGGAGGGCCGAGGAGGGCGCCTCCCACGCACCTGATTGCAGTTCTGATCATGCAGATCCATGGTGGCGTCGAGCAAGGCCTCATTGAAGTCGTCCTGGGGAGAAGAGGGTGCGGAGGCTACCGGCCTGCTCCTGCCTGCTGCAGTCTGCAGTCCCCTGTCACCTCCATGGGGCCAGGTGAGTCAACAGGGAGCCAGGAGCCCAGACCCAGTAACGCGGCTGAGCATCACCCTGGGGACTAAGCTGTGGAGGAGGAGCCATGCCCAACTCACCTCCAGCTGCAGTAGCGCGACCTGCTCCTGTTGGGGAAAAATCACTCGTTTAATCCTCCCAGCGTCTCCCACACTCAGTCTTATCCCCAAGCCCCGGGCTGTTCTCGGCTCGCCAGGCCCCCATAGCTGGGTCCAGCCCAGGGGTCTGGGGACCAGGTGTCTGGCATCCCTGCCCTGTCATCGATATGCCCAGTGACTTGGACACATTCCTAAGCCTCCCTGGGCCTCTGCATTCCTCACCTGTGCACACACCTGCCACACAGGTGTGAACTGAGAGATTAGCCTATTGCAAGGATCTGTCCAGTGGAAGGAATGGGCAAACCTGGGGCAGCATCTTCATCTTCTCCATCACCACCATCATCGTGAAACCACCCACCCAAGCCAAACTGTAGAGAGCAGGCGAGTGGGGGGCACAGTGACCCACCTGCTCTTGTCCTTCTGGTTGATGTTGATGATTGTTAAAGAAACTGTCCACCATCTGGTGCTGTGAGGGGAGGAGAGGCAGCGGTGGGAAAGAAAGGCCTGATCCTCCCCACCCCCGCCCCCAGGGCCCAGGTGGGCTGGACATTCCTAGCTCCACACAGCAGGACCCAGACGCCCCTCACTCCCCCAACCATGCATTGGGAAGAGCTTCTTACCATTCTGAATTTTAAAATCTCAGTCAGACTTCTGCTTTCCTGTGGAGGTAACAGTAATTTTTTTCAGGCTCGTGTGACCTTGCCACCCCCCACACTTGCTGTATTCGTGCGCACGCGCGCACGCGCGCGCACACACACACACACACCTAGGAACATTGCTCTGGAGAGTGTAGGGTCTACCGTGTTACCGAATACCTGAGCTCTCCGTCCAGGCTGACAGTTGGCCAAGGGAAGGATTGGCAGTGGCCAGTCTTCTCTGAGGTGGTGACAGAGATGCAGGGACACCCGTGGCCAGAAACGCTTCCTGACTGCAGATTCTGCAGACCCATCTCCCCTGCCCAGACTCTTGGCTTGACCCACAGAAATGCGAGGTACACCAGAGCCTCCCTCCCACATCTCTACCTTAGGGCCACATCTGGTTTCCAGGGCATACAGGGTCTACTGCAATTGGTGCTTCCTCTGGCCCTCTCCAGCTGCCCCACAAACATGTCGGGTCCTAGAGCAACCCCCTTGTCCCACAGCACACCCTGTTCCTCAGGACCCCGACACACACACAGAGCTGCCCCCCATAATTTACCCCCAGACAGGAAATCTGGCCCCACAAGGACCTGCTCTATAAAGTGAATGACTCAGGGACTCCTGGGTGGCTCACTGGGTTAAGCATCTGCCTTCGGCTCAGGTCATGATCCCGGGGTCCTGGGCTTGAGCTCCATGCCGGGCTCCCCGCTCTTGGCGGGGAGTCTGCTTCTCGCTCTGCCTGCTCTGCCTGTCACTTCCCCTGCTTATGCGGTGCATGCTCTCTCTCTCTCTTTCTCTCCCCCTCCCTCTGACAAATAAAATCTTAAAAAAATAAATAAAGTGAATGACTCAGAATGTGAGGCTGTTTGTCAACAATTATTCAGAATTTCAGGACAGTGATGGCAGAGCATTCGACCAAGCAAGCTCAGGCTCATTATGAGACTGGGGCCCTGTTGAGTGCCTCAGACCCCTGCTTCCTCAGGGGGCTCCTCCACTGGTCTAGGAGAATGGGACAGAGCCAGGTGCATGTGGAGGGATCAGCAGGTCCGGGGGCCAGCATAGGTGGGAGAAGGGGGACCCACAGTTCGGAAATGGTATCCGGGGCCCACCGCCCCCTCCCCTCCCTCCCTACTCACTCTCGACACCTGGGTGAAGCACATGGTTGTTCAGGCCTCCAGGGGCTGTGACCTGGTGGGCAAGAACAGGTGTAAGGAAGAGTCTTCAGAGAAGCAGGCTTCCCGCCACCCCCACAGAAAGTCCCTTTGGCTGCAGCTCCCTCCCCGGGCCTCCACGGAGCCATCACCTTCTCACAGATTCTCCCAGCTGAGGTTTCTGCTCCTGAGAGAAAGCTGCTCTTTTAAGAGGGAGGAGGGGGGAGCCCGCCCTAAAGGCCGGATGTGGGGCTCTGTGTGTGTGTGTGTGTGACACAGAGACAGAAGCAGAGGACAGACAGGGAGACTAAAGGGTCTGGGAGGGGGTGGCCATGGCTCTAGCTGTGGCCGCTCCACTCTGGAGTGAGCAGGAATCTCAGAGCCTGGAAACAGGCCTCTTCCCCAACCTCATCAGCCTGAGATGGGGGAGGAGCAGCGGGAAAGTGCAGTCTTGGGAAAGCAGACTGAGATGATCCCTGAGCTCTGGAAAATGAGGTCATCCAGCTGGGGGAAGTCACGAGGAATGCTGGCCAGGTCACTTGGAGCAGAGTGTAGCCCAGCTGCCAAGTCCAGAGAAGGTTCCCAGAACCTCCTGGCCTACAGTGTAGCAGGACCTGCAAGACCCCTCAGGTGGGCCCACCAGGCGGGGCGCCTGAACATACTGTCCCATGTGCCCCTGCAGGGGCGGCTGGAGGCCATGCCTATCTGCCAGGGGACAGGGTAAAGCCCTCAGGAGAGGTTGGGGATGGCTTGCTGTCGGCCTAGGCCCAGCCAACCAGGCTATCCTGAGCCCTCCTGGGGCCGAGGGATGCCATAGTCCTGCAACACTCAGGCACCTGTGTGTGGTGGTTGGGGGGCAGTCCCGGGTCCTAGCGTGCCTCTCACACAGCCAGGCCCAGCCCCTGCTCTCCCCTTACCCCGCTCTGGGGCCAAAACCCCTCCCAGTTCAGCACAGCCTCTGTCTGCCCTCTGTACTGGTGTCTGGGAGCGGGCACAGCAAAGTACAACCGCTGGGGTGCCTAAACCACAGAAATGTATTCTCTCTGACTTCTGGAGGCCAGAAGCAGAAATCAAGGTGTCAGCAGTGGTTCCTTCTAAGGGCCTTGGGGGAAGGGCCTCTCTCCCAGGCCCGCAGCCAGCCATCTTCATGTCCGAGTCAATCTCCTTGTATGTGTGTCTGTTCTCAAATCTCCCATTTTTATAGGGACAGCAGTCCTATTGGATTAGGGCCCATCCAATGACCTCATTACCTTGATTGTCTCTGTAAAGACCCTATCTCCAAATCAGGTCACATTCTGACGTGCTGGGGGTTAGGACTTCAACATATGAGTTTGGGGGGATACAACCCAGCCCCTAACACCCTCAAAGAGGACCTGGGCTCCTGGGGTTCCACCAGAAGGACGGAACTATAAAGCACATTTCCTTGGTGAAGGTCTCACTTGCATTAACTAGACCCCGGCTGGTGTCTCCCTGCCCCTAGGAGCCCATCATTGGTCTGAAACTCCTTTTGCACACCTGGGAGTCCAGATCCTTCCCTGAGCCACCTTTAAATTCCAGGTGGAAAGAGAGAAGACAGCTGCTCCTGCTTCACCTGCAAGTAATACTTCTGGGCTTCATCTGGGGACGCCTCGCTCCCTGACCCCATGGGACACTTGGCCCCTCCATGACTGGCTCACAAAGACCACCATCTGCAGGCATTTTGTAATTCTTTGCGGACTGTACCATTTTCTTTATAGTTTTAGTGAGAAATAATTCACATACAATTCACCCATCAAAGTGTATGATTTTCATCACCTCAAAGAGAAATCCCATACCCCTTAGCCAGAACCCCCCAATCCCAAAACCCCACCTGCACCAGTCCTAGGAAACCCCTCATCTACGATCTGTTCCCGGATTTTCCTGTTCTAGACATTTCATATAAATGGAATCACATGGAAATGGTCACACTATGTGACCTTTTGTGTCCGGTTCCGTGCACTCAGCACAGTGTTTTCCATCCACAGTGTTTCCATCCGGCAACATGAATCAGAACTTCATTCCTGGGGCGCCTGGGTTGGCTCAGCCGGTTAAACCTCAGCCTTCGGCTCAGGTCATAAGCCCGGGCTCCTGGGATCAAGCCCCACATCGGGCTCCCTGCTCAGCGGGAAGCCTGCTTCTCCCTCTCCCTCTCCCTCTGCCGCACGTGCTCTCTCTATTTCTCTCTCAAATAAATAAATATTTAAAGAAGAAAAAGAACTTCATTCCTTTTTATGGCTGAATAATATTCCACTGCATCAGTATGCCACCTTATGTATCCATTCACCTATTGATGGTGTATTTGGGTTGCTTCTACCTTTTGGCTTTTATGAATCCTGTTGCTGTGAACATGTGTGTGCAAGTTTCTGTACAGAGGTTTTTCCTTCTCTTGGGTTGACCAATACTTACGATGATGTTCTTTTGAGTCTAGCCACCCTAGTGGGTGTGAAATAGTAGCCCATCCCGGTGTGGTTTTGATTTGCATTCCCCTTAGGACTAGTGATGTGGAGCATCTTTTCCTGTGTTTGTTGACCACTTGTCTATCTTCCTTGGAGGAGTGTCTAGTCTGATCCTTTGCCCATTTTTAAACTGGTTTATTTATCAGGGCACCCGGGTGGCTCAGTCGTTAAGCGTCTGCCTTCAGCTAAGGTCATGATCCCAGGGTCCTGGGATTGAGCACCACATCGGGCTCCCTGCTCTGCGGGAAGCCTGCTTCTCCCTCTCCCACTCCCCCTGCTTGTGTTCCCTCTCTTGCTGTGTCTCTCTCTGTCAAATAAATAAATAAAACCTTAAAAAAAAAAACTGGTTTACAGCCATCAAAAGGAATGAGATCTTGCCATTTGCAACGACGTGGATGGAACTGGAGGGTATTATGTTGAGTGAAATAAGTCTAACAGAGAAAGACATGTATCATATGATCTCACTGATATGAGGAATTCTTAATCACAGGAAACAAACTGAGTGTTATTGGAGTGGGGGGTGGGGTGGGAGGGATGGGGTGACCAGGTGATAGACACTGGGGAGGGTATGTGCTCTGGTAAGCGCTGTGAATTGTGCAAGACTGTTGAATCTCAGATCTGTACCTCTGAAACAAATAATGCAATATATGTTAAGAAAAAAAGAAGAAGAAGAAGAAGGTAGCGGGAGGGGAAGAATGAAGCGGGGGAAATCGGAGGGGTAGACGAACCATGAGAGACGATGGACTCTGAAAAACAAACAGGGTTCTAGAGGGGAGGGGGGTGGGAGGATGGGTTAGCCTGGTGGTGGGTATTGAGGAGGGCACGTTCTGCATGGAGCACTGGGTGTTGTGCACAAACAATGAATCATGGAACACTTCATCTAAAACTAATGATGTAATGTATGAGGATTAACATAAGAATAAAAAAAACTGGTTTATTTATCTTCTTGTTATGAAATTATAAGAGCATTTTGTATATTCTGGATACAAGTCTCTTATCAGATATGTCCTTTGCAAATGTACTCTCCCATTTTGTGGGTGGTCTTTTCATTTTTTAGGGTGTCCTTTGAAGCACAAATGTTTTACATTTTGATTATGGGAGCATATCATTTTAAAAATAAAATTAATCAATTTGACATGGCCTTTTTCCATAGTATACTTAATATATTTTTAAAGGCTGGAGAAGTTTCCACAGAGCATGGTAGTAGCCACAGATTTCACCTTGGACACTTCCTTTGAGCTCCCCTAGCTGACTTTTGGGTTCCTCTCTCTCCTTCCTTCTCACACTCATTCTCTCTCCATCTGCCACCCCACTGCCCATCAACTCTGAACCCCAAATTCTTCTACAAAACAGAGCGATTCAGGTCTATCAAGTTCCTGCAGCCAAACTCACCCCAGGTCCATCTGTGCACAGAAGCAATGAAGGGCTTTCTCTCCAATTATTTTCCTTGTCCTCCTGTATGGGGCTCATAAGCTTTTAAAATACAAGTTTCCTCCTCCACATATTCTGAAAGGATCCTGACAGAGGCCCAGATTTCTGGTTTTCTGGCGGCTTAGGATTCCCAGTCATGGACTGGTTGAAGACCTCTTGTTGTTGCCCTCCTACTGGTCAGCTTGTTGTGACCCACTGATGGCAGGCAACCTCCCGGCGTGCTGGGACTTCGCCCGCGGCCCCCGCCCAAGCCAGCCCTGTGGGCTGGATGGCAACCCAAGAAATGGTCGCTAAGTGGCTCCACCCATAGACCAGGGACATCAACTTGACTCTACCAAGAACATGAAGAGGTTGGCCCCTAGGAGGAAGAACATGGCAGAGACACAGGAAAACCAGAAGGCGGGGGGGACAGCTGCTGTCCCAGCTCCCGTGCCCACCCCTCAAGCTTACTCAGATGCAGACTCTTGCATTCAGGGTGAGGGCGTGAGGTCTGCATTTTTAAGTTCCCTAGGTGATTCTAATGTGGAATATTCCAGAAGTATAGTTCCAAAGGCACTGATTTAGATCCTGCATTCTGAGAGGAGTGGGCGGTGGGGTGGGTGAATGAGGTGGCCCACCCACTCATCACCCAGCGGTGCTGAGGAAGCCATGGCTGAGTCCACGGTCTTCCCACCGCATGGAGCTGAGGAGAGTCCAGGAGCTCTCCTTGAGGGAAGCGGCAGGCCCTCCAGTGTGGAAGCACTGAGGGGACTTGTAGGGATAGGAAGGTGTTCTGTTGAACGGACACAGCACTGGGGCCAGAGTGGCACCAGAAAGTAGGTCCACGGGGCTTAGGTTGTGGAGGGTCGTCTGGGTGGCCACTGATGTCACCCAAGACGTGGGACACACCCACGGGTGCTCAGGGGTAGTTTCGGGGCTGGGGCTGGGGCCCCCAATCCCTGTGGCAGTGAGGACGTCTTGGAAGCGGGACAGGGTGGGACAGTCCTGGGAAACTCGGAGCAGCGGGTGGAGATAGAGGCTGGGGTTCAGTTGCCCAGTCATGCCATTCCTCTGAAGCCAGCCCAGCCCAGAGCCGCGACTGGGAGCCGCTGTTGCCAGGCGGGCGCAGCGCTGCAGTCGGCTGGTGTGCTCAAGAAGCACCAGCTCTTCCGAGAGAAGGAGCGTCCTGCGGTAGAAGCGCGCCACCGCAACGGCGCGGGTGCAGGCGGGGGAGGCGACGCTGAGCACAGGACTGGTCCAGTCTACGCGCCAGCCATTTGTCCCCGGTCCCCAGGGCTTAGCTCCACCCACATGCTCCCAGCTGCGTCCCCGCAGAGTCCCGCCCCTGGGAACAGAGGATGTGCCTCCGCGGCGACTCAGGACGACACCCCCCCCCATTCACACACACACACACACACACCCAGACCCGCCGTGGGAGACCCGTCCCCCTTAACGGGAGGCGACGCCCCCCACCAGCACGGCCAGAAGGGACAGCAGGAAGGACAGCGACGGCCGCCCTGAGGCGTGATTGATCTCGCACGAACAATCGCAGGTCCCAGGTTCCAGGGTCGCCTTGGGGGGCCTGGGGGCGCGTGGGCCAGCGCTGGGGGCCGGGCAGTCCAGCCACTTGGGGCCCATGGGTTGAGGGGCCTCGGGCTCGGCCTTGACGCTGCCCTTGGGGAAGCGCCAGTAGTGGGCGCCCTTGAAGAAGTAGGTGTCACCTGCGGGGGTGGGAGGAGACACTTCGGGGGCCGGCCCAGGCCGCCCCTCCCGCGGGCTCCCCGACACCCCCAGGATGGCCCCTCTGCCCGTCCCCGCGGCCTCTCGCACCTGTGTTGCTGACGGTGACATCGTCCGGGGCGTGAGGCGCCCCTTCCCAGAGACTCAGGTCGCGGGGGTAGCCGGGGTCCGGGCGCGCCGCCGCCTCGTCGTAGCGCCAGTAGCGCTGGCCCCGGATCACGTAGGTCTTCCCGTTCAGCGGCCACGAGAACACGGCGTCCGCCTCCTCTCCCGCCGGCAGCCCCAGCTCCGTGAGCGGCCGCGGGGCGCCCTCCAGCTGCCGGTCCTGGAACACCCAGAACTGGGGGCCTGCGGGGGAGCCGGCCTGTGAGCGGGTGCGCCCCCCGCGCGGGCCCCGCCGCGCCCCGGCGCCCACTCACCGCTGAAGAGGAGGATGCGGCCGTCCGGATGCCGGGCGTAGGCGGCCTGGATGACCTTGACCTGGGCGGGCAGCCCCTCCCAGAAGCGGTGGAGCCGGGCGGGCCGGGGGGACACCAGCTGTCCCGAGGGCTGCAGGCGCCAGAACCAGGGGCCTGTGGCGGACCGAGGGGCAGGAGATGGCAGGAGGCCTTCGCCCTCAGGGCGCGTGGCTGGGAGACAGTGCTGGCTCTGTCTCCCGCGGCTGGCGGAGCAAGTCCGCCTGGGTTTTAAGGGTGCAGTGGCTCTGGGGTGAGCAGCTCTCCTAGGCTTTGCCTTGTGTTTTTAGCACTCCAAGTCCTGCATCCTGGGAACCCCCACAGGCGCGGTGGGTCATCCTAAGGGGGCAGGAAGCCAACTCTATGGGGTCAGGGGAGAGCTGGAGGGACTCACCTTTGAAGAAGAAGATTTCACCCCGGATGTTAGCGACAGCGTCAAAATTGCCACCACATCGGTCAGGGACGGGAAGAGAGGGGCTACAAGGGAAAGGGGAGGTGAGCAGAGAGGGGCTGAGGCTCCTGGTCTCTTTGCGTAACTGTTAGGACAGTCCTATGAGGAAGGGACTCTCGCCGCGCCCATCTCACCAAGGACCACACTGAGGTTAGGGACTTGCCCCCAGGTCATACAGCTGGAGAGGGACTCACCTGTCCGGGGGCACGGCAGGGGGCGGGGGAGGAGGAGCCAGGGGTTTCCTTGTGGGCTTGTCATGTGGGGTTTGGGGCACCTTCCCTGTGGAGAGAGAGTCAGAGAGGCGTGAGTTCCCAGACCCCGCTGCAGCAGAGCCCACAGGGCAAACCGCCCTTCCCCAGCCCTGTACCGTAGAGCTGCTGCAGGCCTTCACGGTCATCCTGGGACAAGCGGTACTTGTGGGGGTCGCCCACGGGGCCCTGGTAAAAGGGCCTCATAATTGAGTTGGGTGCTGAGGAGTGGCCCAGGCCCAGGGCGTGGCCAAACTCATGGACAGCCACAGCAAACAGGTCAGTCCCCTCACCATCTGGGGAAGGAGGGAAATTGGGCTAGAGCTGTGCCCTGCCCCCACACCAGGAACGAAGGTGGCCGGGAAGCCCCTGGAGTGGGGCCCGCCGGCAGACAGGAATAACCAGGAGACCCTCCAGAGGTGGCTATACCCAGACCCTTCTGTGAGCCATTCTGTCCTTCTTGTGTGCATTCACTTATTTGGTAGATTTTTTTGAGTAGCCTTGTTTGGCAGTTCTGGGAACTTGGGTACCGGGCTGAAGAGACCCACAGAAGAGGTAAGGGAAGGGGTAGGAGGAGACAGTCTGGACAGACGAAGGGGTGACCTTTCGGATGTAGCGCCGGCCCCCAAGCAAGGAAGGCTGTGCATGCAGAAACACTCTGGGGGGGGAAGCAGGAACCTGGGGGTGCATGCATTTCTCTCAAGGAAGCCCCAGTCCCGCTCCAGTCTGTGGTCAGAACTCCCCACCCACCGTCTCCTTGGCCTCGGTTCCCAAGACCTTCACCCCACTCCCATGGTGCTCCCCCTCCTCCCATGTGCACCCCGCCAGTGCCCCCATCCCCTCAGTCCTCTGTCACCCTCCCCCATCTCCCCCTTCCCACAGCCTCCACCCCTCCCCTGCCTCCCTCCGGTCCTGGGCTGCCTCCCTGCCTCTGCAGCTTCATCCATCTCCTCGGGCAGACACTCAGACCAGTCTGCTGGCCCTGGAGGCCAGCCTCGTTCCCAGCCTCTCTGACCACAGCCTCTTCCTTGGGGACCAGCCCAGGTGCCAGGAGTGAGCCTCTTCACACTCCCAGTTGCTGGCCAAGTCCCAGCTCCTCATCGATCCACCTGCTAGCTCCTACTTCAGCCGCTGAGAGGCCAAGAGAGCAAGACTGCAAGACAGCCAGAGAGGTGAGCAGCTGCCCAAGGAAGCACAGTTTCCACAGATGTTGATCTACTGCCTGGAAATCTCTAACTCGGGCCAGCACTGTTGAAAGTGGGTTTACTGGAAGGAGCCTGGTGATCCAAAAAGCAAATTTCTCTCAGCCCCTAAGGTCTGCTGGATGAAAGTGAAGAAAGAAATGCGTGGGTCAGTCTTAAGAAGAGTAGCAAGTACTTGCTCTCATTCTCCTCTCACAAAACCTCTTTCTTCTGTCCTCATTTGACAGGTGGGAAACTGAGGCACAGGGAGGTCAAGTCAAATGACAGTATAGCCAAGTACTCTGGCCGTATTGTCCTGCCTTTCAGCAGCGACTTCAGATGGTCTTGGTCAAACTGTGTACGTGTTGATGGATTTGGTCGTTGACTGTGCGTTTTCTTATTGCCCTGAGGCCTTTTTCTGAGAAACTGGAGGAAGCTGGGTGTCTACATCAAGTAGATCTCCTTCATCCCTCACCCCTCCTCCCCCTGCTTTGCCTCTCCTTTGGCCACACCCTTCCTTGCACCCTTCTCACGCTCTGCAGCTGGGGGAAGACACACAACTGCAGCCCCAGTCCCAGCCCATGAGATTCCTGGTGGCCAGTCTTCGGGGGTCCTAAACACCTCCTCTCAGCTCTGCTCTGGACCTCATCAGACAGCTCCTTTGCGCTCTCCACTAGCCTCAATTCCAGGCCCATAGCCCCTCAAGCTGCTCCCCAGCTCTGGCCCCCAACTCTTAGGTGACAAATGCTGACAAATGTGTTTCCTATTTCATCAAGACAGACCATCCGATGCAATCTGTAACTTCCTGTGTGCCTGGGCAGATACCTCCGTCTCCTCCATTCTCGCCTCCTGCCTCCTGCCCTGCCCTGTGCAAGGACCCTGCTTCCCTTACCTCCTCAAGGACAAGGACAATGCCCCACCCACCCCTCCATCCATCCCTGCATCCCTGCACCCATGTGTCTATCCATCCACCCATCCTTCCATCCATCCATCCATCCGTCCATCTATCCATGTATGAATCCATTCATCCATCCCCCATCTCTTTCTTTCTGTTGGCTCATCCAGCATCACCAAGTGCTCAAGATTCCCTCATCCTAAGCCACCCCAGTACCTATCTGCCCCCATCCACACCCCTCTCCTTCCCTAGCAAGTTCTGTGGTCAGTGGTCTAAACTCAGTCTTCTCTTCCTCGGTCCCTCTCATGCCTAACCTCACTGTGGTCGGGACTCCTTCCCCACCCGCCAAGTCTGTAGGCACTAAGGTCACTTTGTCCTCAGATGATCACATCCAGGCCCCTGTAACTTACTGGCCTGGCTTGCTGCCCTGCCCACTGCTCCCTGTTCCCCTCGTCACCCTGTTCCTGGTCACCTGTGGGCCTGTTCTTCCTCCATTTCCTTTGGTTCCTCCTCTCCTTCTACCCTCCCCTCAACTGTGGGGCTCTCCACAGCTCTGTGCTTGACCTTCATGTTCTACACTCTCCTCCTGGAATCTTACCACCCCCCGAGTGCCACCAGGCCACTCTGCAGTGAGCAGAGTGCTCCTGCGTGCGGGCCCTGTGCCGACCGCTGTAGGTGAATTACAAGCCCACCTGCTGGCAGGTACTATTATAATCCCCATTTCTCAGATGATGAAACTGAGCATGGCGTAGCAAGTGGAGGAACCCTGACCGGAGTTTCGCTGCAAGCTGGCGTGCTCAAATGCTCACTTCTGTGGATGCTGTGGGCACCTCGCCCAAGTCAGAGCCCGTGTGCTCATTCCCTGGCTGCCCCCTTCCCCAGAAAACCGCGCTCCCTCCTGGCCAGCCTCCCTGCCGCGGCTCACAGTCAACGGCAGATTGCTGAGGGAGTAGAAGAGCTGGACCCCTTGCCTCCAGGCAGGACCAGCCGTGTGGGTCAGGCTCCTCTCAGCTGAGACCGCATCCTGACTAAGCTTCTTTCCCCAGCTCGCTCTGGTTTCCCTTTCCCCTACCAACATATCCTGAGAAACTGCTTGCACAAGAACTTTCATCTTGATCTCTACTTACGGGGAAGCTGACCTAAGTGAGAGAAGCCCCAGTTCTAGAGTGAGACACTCGACCACGAATGCACCGCCCACACTGAACGGCCCATGAGCGCTGCAAACACGCAGCCAACCTAAACTCCCCTCTGCCCTCTGAGAGCCTGCTCTTCCTCCTCCAGGGGCCCCTGAGTCAGAAACCTAGCCATCACCCTTCCTCCCCATCCCCTCTGCCCCCAGGATCCGGTTAGATCCCAGTCTTGCCCACCCTGACTCAACTGTCCTCTGACCCACATCGCCCAGCACCATCCCTTTCCTGGACCCTCCAGAATGCAAGACCTTCCACGGTTCCCGTTCCCTTCCCCCATCCTCCCCATTCTGTCCCCGTGCTTCCAAGGCCCTCTTGTTATGAGACACACACTCTCTGTCCCGGCACCGTATTTCGGCCTTCCAGCCCCCCATGGCCCCCTGTGCTCCTACCCCTGACAACCCTGGACTCAGCTAGCTCACAGGCTTGTGCTTTTCTCTGCGTCCTCCCCGCAGCCCTACATGCCCCGGGGCAACAGGACCTGGTGTGCTAGTTGGCCCTCAGCATACACATGTGGGATGAATAAAGTCACCACTTCTAGGAAGCCCCATCAGTCAAAGGCTTTGGGTAGCCTCTGAGCACCACAGGCTGGAGGACTTCCTCTGCTAGGATTCCACCAAGTTGTGTCACCATGTGTAGCAACTGCCAGTTAGTCTTCTGACTCAGCTGCTGCAAGGGGCTGTTTTCACCTCTTTTAGTCCGCAGCTCGGAGCGGGACGCCTGAGAGGCCTCAGTGATGGGTAATGTTCTGTGTCAACTTAGTCAGACTATGGTGCCCAGTTGTTTAGTCAAACACCAGTCTAGATGTTGTTGTGTAGGTTATTGTGTAGACGTAATTAACACCTACAATCAGTTGACTGTAAGTAAAGCAGATCATGCCCCATGGTGGGTGGGTCTTGTCTAATCAGTTGAAGGCCCGGAGAACAAAACCTGAGGTTTCCCAGAGAGAAAGGAATTCTGCCTCAAGATTGCAACATAGAAATCATGCCTGGTTTCCAGCCACCTCACTTGCTCTGCAGATATCAGACTCAGGACTGCAGCATCAACTCTCACTTGAATTTCCAGTCTGTGGGCCCGTCCTATAGATTTTGGGTTTGCCAGCCTCCACAATCCTGTGAGCCAATTCCTTAAATAAATCACTTTGCACACACACACACACATGCACACACGCACCCACTGGTTCTGTTTCTCTGGAGAAGCCCAACTGATACAGCCCCCATCGATACATGTGATTCAAACCAAATTCTTAAGGACAGACAGACCTGGGGAGAGGACCTCTCAGAATAGGGAGATTGTACCTTTTGACCCATAAGTCCATGTCTCCTCGTCATCAAAGTGAGTGTCCCCAGAGATGGGGTGTTCCCCGGGGAAGAAGGCATGGGCTAGGGTACCTCCCTGCCCGTCGAAGGGGTAACTGTCCTGGTGGTATGCCCGGGCAAAGTCGATGAGGATGTCAGGCTCTGTTGGGTCCTGAGAAACCAGCTCCTGGAATTTGAGGCCTGACTCAATGCCCCAGGTGGCCAGGGCATGGTGCATGAGGGTCCGCACCGTCTCCTGGGTCAGTGCTGAGCTCTGCGGGAAGGAGCGTACCCTGGGGAGACAGAAGGCAGCCGGTCCACACGGGGCCCAGCAGGCAGGCCAGGGTGGGGTGCGCACCAGGACCTACCTCCACGTCAGGGTTCGCTTCCTCCACGTGCTGCCACTCAGAGCGTACCGGCGGCGGCGCCTGACCAGCTCCGCCACCCCCAGCATGTCGGGCAGGGAGCAGCGGGGCCTCTGCATAGTGGCCATCGTCACTGGGTCTGGGGGAGAGGGTGTGGGGGAAAGGGATCAGCAGTAGGACACCCTGCTGTAATCATGGTACCCGCTAACCTTCTACACGGACACACTGAGGCTCAGAGACGTTAAACAACTTGCCCAAGAAGGCCTCGCAGCTTGGATTTGAACACGGGCTAGCCAGGTCAGGTAGCCAGCTCAGATCAAATTAGGACCCTGCTCTTCAGGGCAGTGTTACCCTTTTCACTGGGCCCTGGATGGACTGCCTGCCTCCATGTGATGCTCAGCTCTGGGATCTGGGGGTCCTGCTTCCCTGAGCCCTGGCACTGGGACTCTGGAGAAAGGAGCCATGGGGTGCAGTGCAGAATTCTCTCTGAGGCCGGAGCCCCCTGGGAGGTTGCTTGCCCATACCTCATGCCCTAGGTCCCTAGTCCTCACCACGTCCTAAAGTCCAAAGCCCCCAGGCTGGCTGGGCCTCTGGTCTCCCAGGTTAGATCTGCCTGGAATCCCCTTTCCTAGTTCAGCTCCCTTCCCAGCTGTCCCCTCATCTTCAAATGAAGGTCAAACCTCACCTCATTGGTTGAGGTGACAAAGAGTAATGGGGCACATACAGATGCTAGACGCTACTTGGCAGTAGGCAGGACAGAGAAAGGTCCTACCTTCCTTGTAGCTAGCCAGCATCCCCCCAGTTCTCTCTTCTTCCCCATTTTACCCGACAGATGAGCCTCTCAGCTCTACCTCCAAAATATGCATCCTGGATTCAACTGCCTCTTTCCTGGTCTCCATTTCCACCCTCCATTCTCCATCAGCAAGCAGAGGAAGCTTAGAACTGTAAATCCAATCCAATTGTCTCCCTCCTTCAAACACTCCAGTGGTTTATCATGCTTGTAATCAAACCCACCTTTCAAGCATCGCCCCCCACCCACTCGCAATTAGGTTCTTGCTTAACTTTTCAATCCTTCTCTCATTACAGACACACCAGTTTGTGCCTACCACAGGGCCTTTGCATTTCCCTGGGACACTCTTCTCCCACATCTTCCCATGGTTGGCTCCTTCTATTTGTGTCCTATGAGTTCTTTGTGTCATTCGAGCTCCTCTCACCCCCTGACACCTTTCAGAGGGATCTGCCCTGACCAGCATTTTATTTTCTTCAAAACACAGATCACTATCTGAAATTATCTTGCACATTTTTGTTCTCGATCTGTGTGCGTGTCCCATGAGAGCAGGGACCTTTTCTGCTTTGTTCCTCACTGCACCAGCAGAGCCTGAAATGGCCTTACACGTAAGAGATTCTTAGTAAATATTTATTGGAAAAGGAATGCCTGAGAATCTCATGGGTTTGGCCCCAAGACCAGCATTTCATAGCTCCTGTGATTCAGGTGCATGCTGAGGTTTAGATACTGCTGGCTAATGGTCAGGCTGGGTGCAGAGGCAAGGCTGGGGAGGGGTGTGTGGGGGGGGTCTACCTACCCAGGAGGCCTGTCTCAGGCAGTCCGGCAAACCTCTGCATGACCTTGATAGCATCCCTCAGCTTTTCAGGGCTCTGCAGCTGGGCTTGGGCAGGGTGGGGTGGTGGCAGATAGCCATAGCGGGTCAGCCAGTCCTAGACCATAGGAGGGAACAGGGGAAGCGGATGAGTGGGAGAGACGCCCCCTTCCCACCACCATCCTGGAAGCCCCACCTCTCGCCAGGCGTCCAGGCATCCGGAGCCCAGGGGGCCCAGCCCCGGTGACTGCCTACTGTCCATCTCAAAGTGCGGGCTCTCCAGCCCTGGGTTGTGTCCGGACCCAAGAGTCCTGTCCTCCACCTCCCCACCCCTACCCCTCAACAGATCTTCAAATCAAAGCCCCAAACCTGATGGGTCCAAGAATCTGGGTCCCCAGACCCCATCCCCAGTCACTCTTTGGACAGTTGAATCAGCTCCCAGCCTGGTCCGAACCCCACCCCACCCCGCAGATCCCAGGAGCCCCCAGACCCCGGCACTCACCACTCCCAGGCTCACGTCCTGCGCGGAGAGCTCCCGGGCGCGCGCGGGCGGCGGCAGCAGCGGGAACAGCAGCGCCAGGAGCCTGAGCATGCCCGCGGGGCTCGAGGGGACCTGCCCAGGGCCGCTCTGGGGACCTGGGGCAGGGGTCCGGGACCCGGAGAGGCTCGGAGAACCCTGCGCGAGCTAGGAGGGGTGGGAGGGGGGACCGGGCGTCGCGCTGCGGGTCCGGGACCCTGGGAGGCACCACGCGGGGGACCCGGAGACGTCCAGCGGAGGGCCCAGGTGGGCCGGGGTCGCTGCGGGTCCCGGGAGGGTTGAGAAGGCCCGGGAGGGGGCGGAGGTGCAGGATCCGGGGGCGCGGCGGTCCCTCCCTCCGGGCGGGGCAGGACTGCCGCAGCCGTTGAGCGGTGGCGGCCGGGCGAGGTCAATGGCCCAGCCTTCGGACGCCCAGCGAGCAGGGGGGAGCCGGCTTCGGAGAGCGCGGGCGGCGCCGGGGGGGGGGGGGGGCGGCGGCGAGGAACCCCTGCCGAGTGTCCCCGCCTCCGATGCCCCGGCCGCGCCCGCAAGTTTCTCTTCCCAGAACCCGGCTCCGCTGGGACTCTCCGCGGCCCGGCTCGTTTCTGCTTTCTCCACTGCGCGCAGCCCGGCGGGTGAGGGGAGGCTCCGGGGCGCCCCTCCCCCCGCCCTTCCGGGAGACCCCGCGGCCGGCAGCCGGCGGCTGGGACGCTTCCCTTCGCCGCGGGGTCCGGGGCCGCCTCCCCGCCCGGCTCTGCTGGCGCCCCCGTGTGCGCGGTGCCGCTGCCCGGGCTCCCCGCCTTCGTTCCCCGAGCCCCGTGGGCCGCGCGCGTCTCTGCGTCCGCAGGCGGGGGTCCCGGCCGCCCCGAGACCGCGCCCCCTCCCGCAGGTGCTAGACGTGTAGGACCCGGTGCCAGGTGCGCAGAGTCTGGAGCGGCCCGGGGCGGGATGCGCAGGACGGAGGAGGGGGGTGAGCCGGAGCGGATCCGGCAGAGACTTGGGGACCCGTAGAGCCACGCCTCACCCCCGCCGGGGAAGCCCAGTGCTAGGAGGCCTTGCGGCAGGAGAAGGACCGGGAGGAAGGTGGGGGGGCTTTCCGGCGAGGGGAGAGGTGCGTGCGAGTCCAACAGCTCTGTCTCTGCAGCAGGGCAGCGATGGGGCCTCCTGCGTTTTAGATAAAATAAATACTGAGCAGGATTAGCGAGCTGGAGATACAAACTAAAACACTGAAATCCTGTATGCGTCCAAGCCAGCTGCGCTAACAAAATACCACGGACTGGGCGCCGGAAACAACAGACGTTTGTTTCTGGAGGCTGGAAGTCCAAGATCCAGGTACCGGCAAGTTTGGTTTTTCCTGTCATTTCAATTCCTCCCCTGGGTTTGCAGGTGGCTGCCCCCGGCTCGTCCTCACCTGGTCTTTCCTCTGTGCCCGGCACCCCTGCTGCCTCTGGGCACCCACATCTCCTCTAACCGTAAGGGCACAGTCAGGCCACCCTCACGGGCTCGTTTTGCCTTCGCTGCCTCTGGAAAGGCCCTGCCTGTAAAAGCAGTCACAGGCTGAGGTCCTGGGGATTAGGACTTCAACACAGCAGTTGGGGAGTGTGGGGTGAGAACACAGTGCAGTCCATGATAAACCCCATGTGTGATAAAAACCTGCACTTCGCCTTCCCAGCTTCTCCTTTATTCTCAAACCGCACTCATGAGGCTTCTGACACCAGAGAGGTGTTGGGTTTTCCCCAGATCAAAGCATTATTTGGGACACCAGGTGAGTGTCCTGCAGCTCAGTTAGATTCTGGCACTCACTGGAGGTACCACAGACCCCACAGGGTAAGGGCTCAGCCCCTCCTCTCCCCAGCCCCCCACTTCAGGTGCCAATCACTAGTAGTAGGTCCCTTGGTTACCCACAACTTTTCCCAGCTTGGCTACAAACTGGAGGTTCCTGCGAGCCCCTCTCCCCTCATTCCATTATATGCTAGAACAGCTCACAGAACTCGGAGAAACAAGTTTACCAGTTTATTATGCAGTGAAAGATATAACAAAGGATACAGATAAACAGCCAGATAAAGAGATACATCAGGTAAGGTCCGGGAGGGTCTTGAGAACAGGGGCGCCTATTCCTGTGGAGTTGGGGGTGCCACCCTCCAGCATGGAGATGTTACCAACCCCAAAGCTCTCCAAACCCCAAACTTTGGGGAGTTCTATGGAGGCTCATCACATGAGCATGATCAACTAATAACTCAGTCTCTGGTTCCTATCCCCTCCCCGGGTGATGGAAGATGGGGCTGAAAATTCCAAGCTTCTAATCACGGGTTGGTCTTTTAGCCTCTGTCCAGGAGCTCTCCAGGAGCTCTCCAGGAGCTCACCAAGAGTCACCTCATTAGAACAAAAGACACTCCCATCACCCAGGAAATTCCAAGGGATTTAGGAGCCCAGTGTCAGGAACTGGGGTCAAAGAGCAGATGTTAGAACAAAAGATGCTCCTAGTGCTCTTACCACTTAGGAAATTACAAGAGATTTAGGAGCTCTGTGCCAGGACCCAGGGGCTAAGGCCCAATATATGTATTTTCTTCTATTATTTCACACACACACACAGACACACATACACCTGGTCTCTGGCCACGGGACCCCTTGCAGCAAAATGATATACACCTCAGGTACTGCACATTACTAGTATCCCACGCAGTCCTTAGTAATCATTCCAGTCCATCATCCTATTGCATGAAAATGTCTCTCAGGGTGAGGCCACTCGGGTTTGCAGGCTTCTCCTCAATCTTGTCAGGATGCAAAGCAGGAGTGGTCTTGGTACATGTATGGCTTCACCCTTTTGGACGTCCGGTACAATCGAGCTAAGATGACAACATTCATCTCTTGCTCTGAGCCTCTTTGGAGGTATTCATGGAATACTGGATTTCCCTTATGACATAACTCGTTTATTCATTACTTTCCCCGTAACTGCTACTCTTCCTTTTCTCCATTTGCACCCAAACTCCCCTCTGGACGGGACGTGGGGTTCTGCCACTGTGCTGGTCTAGATCGCGGGCAGGAGCACCAATCTAGCAAGTGCTTGCCCTCAGCCCACTGCCGTCCGCATAGGGTAAGTCAGGTTACAGGGGTGCAGCTGCAGAACTAGGGGGCTATGTTTACCACCAGCCAATATGGCTGCTTTTACTGTTAACACCAATTCTGTCAGATGGGGTGATGGCACATCCCGCCCCGTCAGGCCCGTAGGAATTCTGACACAAGGTTTAAAATGCGATTGTAGTTTCTTGTTCTGGAGCCCTCGCTGGGTCAGACACTGGCCATATGACCACTGCATCAGGTAGGGAAAAAAGCAGATGAGGTGATGTGGGGATCCTGGCACCTTCCCCACGCCTTCTTCCCCAGATCCACCGGGAAAGCAGAGAGGATGCTCCTTTACCCCACTCGTGTTCACGGTGAGTGTGAGCACACACCTGTGAAGGCTGAAAGCCAGCCCTTCCAAACTTTATAAACACCCCCTCCTGTTTTAGACAACCAATGTTTTCATCGCCTCTTCTAATGCTCTACCAAACTAGTCTCTGAGGAGGATCTCTCTCTGCCCATTGTTGGACATTACGGGCTGTAAACAGTGGTCCTTGGTCTGAAGAAATGGTTGGCTGTGGCCTCTTCTCTGTTCTCGTTATTTTATGGCTCTCTGAGCATTTGCATCCACCTGTGGCTCAGTCAGCAAAGCCCAGCCCAGAGTCGGCGTCTCTTCCTGTAGGGACCCACCTGCAGCCTGTCTCTTTGGCTGGCAGACAAAACAGCTCCTACTGGCATTGCGCGCCTGAGGCCACAAGAGGAATGTGTCGATTCGGCCATCGGTGCCCCCACGTCCACTCATTTTGTGGACATGTTAGGTGAGCACATGGGGATATCTGCTTGTTGCGTCCAGTCACCTTCCAAACCTGGAAGGGGGTTCTTCTGAGCAGCTTCAACATGCCCTACTTTCTTTAATGCACCCTGCAAAGTCCCACAGTGATTTCCACGGGACAGAGCCTCATATGGGCACCTCTGTAGTAGGCCGGGTCGCCACTGTCCTCCTGCCTGCGAGTCAGTAGAAACCAAACATCAGGGTTTTTACCCCTGTTCAAGTCTTCCTTCACAGCTGGAAAAACAGTTCGCAATTCAGCCCACCGGACTGACTTGTTTGTACCTTCTTTGATCAGAGTGGTGGCCTTCCGAACAGGATGTTGCCCGTTCCCTTCAGAACGGCCATCCACAGAGAGCCAGCAGCTCTTTGTTGGTCAGGGGGGAGCTGTTTACGGGTCACTGTCCAAGGGACAACAGAATCCAGCGGCATCTTATGCAGTTCCAGAGCCAGCCCCGGGAAAGAGGCTCAGTGCTCAGAGGTGTCTCTTTGCATTCCGCAGGCAGCACGGTCCTGTATAAACCATTTTTCATTTTATCAGGGCACGCTTCTGGGCACTGCCGTCCCCATGAGAGTGTTTCTCTGACATTACCCAAGACAACACGGGTATAACAGGTGCCAGGATCATTTTAAGTCCTTCCCTCACCAGGGTAACTTCAGTTTATGTTGGGGAGCAAGGTAGTACATACCCCTCAAACGGAATATTCTCTAGTCCAAAGTCCCAGTGGTCGTCGCTGGGGGGTGCTCACACCGTCTACACAAGGGCCAGAGCACAGAGACTGGGCCCCTCCCTGCGCTACTCCGTTGGCTCTGGAAGCTTACAGGGATCAGATCACCACCTTCTGCTTTACAATAGCAGTTAGAGGAAACATTCCCCAGTCAGGCACAGCCCCATCCCCAAAGTACAGTCTGGCTTGAGAGACTCAACCACCTCATGTAACACCTGTTCCAACATACCAATTCTCGTACTTTTACCTTAATTCCATCAACCCTTACATTCCTGACTGTTAACCTCCATTTAGGACTTAAAGCACTAGGGCTCTTAACCCATTAGGACAAAACCCACAGGTTTTGTGGGATCCACCCCGGATCACTCATGCAAAAGGCCTTGGATCAGAGAAGATCCTGGGAAGATGGTGGAGGAAGAAGCACTGGGAACTGTCTCCCCACCTGGACAACTACTGCACTAATAGAATCTAAAGTAACCACATTAGAACTCTGGAGTCCGGTAGAAGGCTTACAACTTCCAGCAGAGGCTCCAGAAGGTAAATTGCCATCG